GTCCAAGAAACGCGTTTCCGGGCTCCAAGTTTTCAAGACAAGGTGTCCTACCACTGGTAACGTCTGACCAACCACGAAGGTGTTGTGTTCTTTGAACCTCCGTTCTATCCCCTGGAGCTCATTTCATCCGCAACGGGTGGTTTGGTAAAACTCCTTCACCTCAACTCGCCGTTGAAGAATGCAGTGGAAATAGCACATGGTAGCCCAGCCCAACCTTCGAGGACCGCTACCTGCAAATCCAATGTACACTCGGCACAGCGACTCTTGTCCTTCACATGTGTATGCGCCAGAGACGTGGACCGAGCGTGCGCGTTTCTTCGACGCGCTGCCCCGAGATTTCCCCCCACACTCCCTTCATCTGGTGGGCGGCGATTTCAACTGTACTCTCAACAAGCACCTCTACTCGTTGAGTCCGAGCACAAAAACGATTGCTGGGACGGGAGAATTGACAGCCTGGATGAGTTCTTTGTCCGTTGTGGATCTGTTCCGTCAACAAAACCCCTTGCGGAAGACTTTCACGAGTCCAAAACCCGTCAACCGGATCGACTACATCTTCTGTACCTCACAGTTGGCACGGTTGACTCGTTGGAAAGCGCCCACATGCATCATAGCCCCAATACCCACCACGTGGCTTGTCGTATTGTCACTAAACGCCATACTGCGAGGCATGACTCGAGTTCGTGGAAGGCGCCTTCATGGCTTTTGCGTCTCCCTCGAGCGTCCACAATCGTCCATAACTGCTTGGACCGCTTTCTTGACAAATCCAGTGGCTTTCACAACCTCGGCAAAGCCTACGACACTTTGGTGGCCGACATACGTCAGCATCTGAAACACTTTCATGAGGAGTACCTGACAAGTAGAGGTTGCCGCTGAAGTACCTGGCAATGATAATCGTAGGCTTTCTGCACGTCCCCAACATGTGTCAAGACCCGGTGCTTGTGGACCGAGTTCGCGGCCATCAACGCCAAATTGACGACCTGCACGATCAGGGAAGCAGTTTGTTCAAGAGAAAGCCTTCCAGCTGCACTCGTACAAGGCTGAGGGTCATCTCGGTTTCACTTTGCATCACCTGTGCCTACTCTTTTGAAGGAGACGGTCTACAAGGAACTCGAAGACACAGACGGCAACTTGGTATCCGATCAGCATTCCATGTCCAACGTGCTGATGGATTACTACTCCAACTTGTTTGCGCCCCTGGACTCCCGTCCATGCGCTGACGACTTGGACGCATTTCTTGTCCCTCTGACACAACGTGCTCAATTGTCCGTTCGAGCGCTACAAGCATTGGCAGCTCCGCTATTGGAAAGTGCGTTCTACCACGCCACAGAAGCTCCAACTCTGCACCTGGCCCCAATGCTCAGCCGTTCGAGGTCCTTAAACTAGCGTCGCACAATTAGTCTTTGGTGATGGAGTTGGTGTTTCGAATTCAGTTACATTCGAGACCACAATTGACACCGATGCAGCTTGTGAGTACACTGGTATTGCTCCACAAGAATGGCCCAAAGTCCCAAGCAAAGAATTACCGTCCCATTAATCTCCTCAATGTGGACATGAAGTTTCTGACAAGTATTTCGGCCCATCGGCTGGAACGACATGTTCGCAGCATTATCCACGAGAACCAGCAAGGCTTTATTAGTCGCGGCACATTCCAAACGAATATCCAACGTCTCGACGACATGCTCCACTTCATGAAGGAACATTCTCCATCGTCGTCCATGGTCGCCCATTTGGACTTCGAGAAGGCGTTCGACCGGGTGAACCATTCATTCCTTCTCCGAGTCCTGCACAGCTATGGATTTCCGATAACCTTCGTTGACATCATGCGGGTACTCTACTGTGGTCAGCGGACACGAATTCTAATCAATGGGCACTTATCCCGTTCGGTTCGGATCCATCGGGGTGTCCTTCAAGGCGATCCACTGTCTCCGTTACTCTTTGCAATTGCGTTGGAGCTCATGTGCGAGCTACTCCGCCAACATCCCAAGTATGGTATTCGCACTGGTGACCGCGTCCACACGGGAAGCTACTTCGCGGACAATTCACAATTGTACGCTTGAACGAAAAGTCCCTGCACCACCAACT